ATTGTCTAATATTTATAAGAATTATATAAACTGAATTGCAAAGTTGAAATTATTTGTTTAAAGTATATTAGAACTATAGTCAGAATTAAAAATAAAATCTGAAATTTTCGATATACAAAAAAAAAAAAAAAAAAAGTTGGAATTTTTTTTTCCAAAATCAATTATTTTGTTAAGACAAGCAGAAAGTTCTTTGAATCATTTAAATCGGACGCTTAGTTCTCTCAAAAACTACCATTTTTTACATATTTAGCTCCATATCGTCGAAATGGCTGGGCCTGCCTTTGCCAAAAACTTATAAACACTTCTCCCAATCATTACTAATTGAATGTTTTTTAGATAATTCAAATCGGATACTCCGTTCTCTCAAAAATTCGATTTTTATTTTCTGCACTCTTTGCTCCGTATCTCCGAAACGGCTGGACCTGCCTTTGCCAAAAACTAATCAGCTCTTTTCCCTATCAATAGGAATCGAATGTTTTTTGAACCATTCAAATCGGTTGATCCGTGCGCCCTGAAACGTGACTGCAAATTTGTATCCATACATACATACACACACACACACACACACACACACATCCATTTTTTCTGAGGTATGCCAAAACGTTTAGAAACCTTCAAAACGTCGAGAAATGTAAAAATTTTCAGTTCCGATTTTCGGCCCATAACAATAACTTACCCTACGGGAAGTTAAAAAGTTAAAAAATTCCAAATTATTTCTAAATATAATTCAAATAAGTCAATTTACTCAAAAATTTAATATTCACAAAAATCAATCTTTTTTGAAAAATTGAATTTTTGGTACGGAAAGTTCCAGCAATTTGTCTTAAATGCCGTACACCAATAGGTGGTTTATTCGCTTCAAAAACAGTCGTATATGTGACCCTCCCACACTAGGAAAATGACATAGCTGACGGGTGTTGCTCAAGAGCTAAGGTAATTAGGGGCTAACACTACAGTTTTATACTTCAAAAATTTCATTAAACTTATACTATTTAACAGAAACCAATTAACTCTTATTTTTTACTTATATTACACATTTGATGACGTTTAAAAGCTGCATATTATAAAAAATATGAATTTTTCAACTTTTCAAACGGCAATATCTCAGAAACGGTGATACTAACAAAAAAATTAATAATAACAATTTAATAGAGAATTTTATAATAAATTGTGGGAGTAGTAATGATTATGATAATATATTTAATTAGAAACTCCCAACATAATAAAAAAATATAAATTTATTAACTGTAAAATATTTCGATATCAAAAATATACATGACATGTCCGATTGTTTTTTACAAATAAAAACCAGCCTGCTTGATATCGCCACACACTCCCTGCCCAGTGTTGATCTCACAGTTTAAAAAAAATACAGGGAAACACGTTATAAAAATGTGGTGAGAAAGCAGATTATAGCAGACCAGTGTTGTAATACTGGTCAATTACAAATTTCCATGTTTCGTCAGCAGATCCACCGTATGTGGTGATTTGACCTGCCATCAACTCCATATTCTGCATAATGTTCTCGATCTAATGGGAATTAGTTATATCAGAATAACTTAATGTTTAGAATGCATAATTTATGGGTACAGTTTCCATTTCTGCAAGCGTTGCATTCGTATCTGATGAGTTCCGATCAGAGAAAGAAGTTGGCTCTTTATCCAAATCAGGATCATTGGTTTCTTTGACATAAGAGTCCAGAATTGTGGAATCCAATAAATTATGTCAAATTTTGTTTTGATTCGTCGTTGTCACCGATAATGGGAGGTAGCATTATAAGACGATTTGTTGAGTTAACAGAGAAAGAGAGGTTGAATTGCATTCCAATGAAAAGTTCAGGCTCCAAATTATTTTTTCTGTCAGCAATAAACACTGAGGTCTGGGTATACCAAATGAGTAACCTCGGAAGTCTGATCCAGATAGTAAGTGCGTTAACTATGATGGATTGGACTGGACATACCTTATAGGTCGTCACTGAAGACCAGTGATTATGGTGCTGCGTCAAAATCAATTTTTCTTAAATCTTCGAAAAATAAAACACCTTTATCTTCATCTCCATCGTCGTGAGTCACCAATGTGGGAGGTAGCATTATAAGACGATTTGTTGAGTTAACAGAGAAAGAGAGGTTGAATTGCATTCCAATGAAAAGTTCAGGCTCCAAATTATTTTTTCTGTCAGCAATAAACACTGAGGTCTGGGTATACCAAATGAGTAACCTCGGAAGTCTGATCCAGATAGTAAGTGCGTTAACTATGATGGATTGGACTGGACATACCTTATAGGTCGTCACTGAAGACCAGTGATTATGGTGCTGCGTCAAAATCAATTTTTCTTAAATCTTCGAAAAATAAAATTTCACGCAAAATCAGAAGGTTGCGTGTTCAAATCACGTCGGGGTCACCAATGTGGGAGTAGTAATGATTATGATAATATATTTAATTAGAAACTCCCAACATAATAAAAAAATATAAATTTATTAACTGTAAAAATATTTCGATATCAAAAATATACATGACATGTCCGATTGTTTTTTACAAATAAAAACCAGCCTGCTTGATATCGCCACAAAATAAACTTATCTAACATAATTTTTTAAAAAAAATTATGGTTTCGGCGGAAAATGGGAAAAACTAGATTTTTGCACCTTTGACCTTGAATAAAAAAAATCGCAGATGTCGGATCGTTGGGGACTTTTGACATTTCATTTGTAATGGCCTATTTAACATCTGTACCAAATTTCAGCTCTATGCTGAATTGTTCCTAACTGAAAACTTAATTTGACTGGGCTATAATCATTGCTAGTCCTTACCAAATTACATACAATGGCATTTGAAGTTATGAAATCAGTTCAATCGTTTTTGTGAAAACGTCAACAGAAGATCCAAAAGCCAATAAAATAATAAAAAAAAAAAGATCCAAAAAAACGCTAACATTACACACGCATAATTTTCGCACAAATGCTTTGTATGTATGGTTTCGAAGCGACAACCATGGTGAACTAAAATAATTTTCAATTCAAAAACCATTAATTAACTTCCCGAAGGAGAAGTTTATGTTTTCATCAAAAAACCCGATTCGCTAATTTTATGTTTTCTCGACGTTTCAAGCCATTCTGAATCGAATGAGACCAAATTTGGAAAAAGTATGTGTGTGCGTGTGTGTGTGTGTGTGTGTGTGTGTGTGTATGTGAACAGATTTTTTGTCGTAAATCGACGTTTTCTCGAAAACGGCTGGGTCGATTTCAAAAATTTAAAAGCCATTCGATGTATCTTGACGAGAACTATTGTTTGTCAGTTTTGTGCGACGATCGGCCAAGCCGTTTCTTTATAAATGGCAGAAAAGTGAAAAATTTTTCGTCTACGTTTTAGCCCGCAATTCTGAATCGATTTTGAAAATTCAAAAACCGTTCGAAAGATATTGGTTGGGAATCGTGCTGATTAGTTTTTGGTAGAGATCGGCCGGGCCGTTTTCTTGTAATAAAGTTTTTAAAAAAAAAATTTCGACGATTTTTATGATTATTTTTTTGACGATAGATACCATAGTCTTCTAGATCATACTAAAATATTACGCCCTACGACAACTGTTTCAGCTTTAAAAATTCGTCAAAGTTTGCAAAAATCAGTATGGTCTTTTTGGCATTTGTCAAAATTAGACTTTTGATCGACGTTTTCTCAAAAACGCCTAAACCGATTTTAGAAATTTAAAAGCCATTTGATGTATTTCGGTGAGGACTATCGTTTGTCAGTTTTGTGCAACGATCTGCCAAGCCGTTTCTTTGTAATTTGAAAAAAACTTTTCGTCCACATTTAAGCTCATCCTACCGAACGATTTTAAAAATCAAAAACTGTTTGAAAGATATTAGTTGGGAATGATACTGATTAATTTTAGGTGAAAATCTACCGAGCCGTTTTCTTGTAATTAACTGTTGAAAAAAAGTGTTAAATTTTCGTCGACATTTAAGCTCATCCTACCGAACCGATTTTAAAAATATCAAAAACTGTTCGAAAGATATTAGTTGGGAATGGTACTGATTAATTTTAGGTGAAAATCTACCGAGCCGTTTTCTTGTAATTAACTGTTGAAAAAAGTGTTAAATTTTCGTCGACATTTAAGCTCATCCTACCGAACCGATTTTAAAATATCAAAAACTGTTCGAAAGATATTAGTTGGGAATGATACTGATTAATTTTAGGTGAAATCTACCGAGCCGTTTTCTTGTAATTAACTGTTGAAAAAAAGTGTTAAATTTTCGTCGACATTTAAGCTCATCCTACCGAACCGATTTTAAAATATCAAAAACTGTTCGAAAGATATTAGTTGGAATGATACTGATTAATTTTAGGTGAAAATCTACCGAGCCGTTTTCTTGTAATTAACTGTTGAAAAAAAGTGTTAAATTTTCGTCGACATTTAAGCTCATCCTACCGAACGATTTTAAAATATCGAAAACTGTTCGAAAGATATTAGTTGGGAATGATACTGATTAATTTTAGGTGAAAATCCACCGAGCCGTTTCTTGTATTACTGTTGAAAAAAAAATTAACTGTTGAAAAAAAGTGTTAAATTTTCGTCGACATTAAGCTCATCCTACCGAACCGATTTTAAAATATCAAAAACTGTTCGAAAGATATTAGTTGGGAATGGTACTGATTAATTTTAGGTAAAATCTACCGAGCCGTTTTCTTGTAATTAACTGTTTGAAAAAAAAAAATTTAAGCCGATTTTCATGGAAATTTTTTTGGCGATATACATCATGGTCTTATAGAACTTACTGTAATATTACGGCCTAACGACAAGTAGTTTAATTTAAAAATTCGTCAAAGTTTGCTAAAATTATTATCGTTTTTTTTAATTAGTAGATTAATAATGAAGTATATTATTTACCCATTTTTTTGATTAAGTCGATTATTTACACATTTCGGGAAGTTCATGTAACTTGCCTCAAGGCTAAATACCAAACCAACTAGTTTCATTCATCATTACTAGATCCAGTTTTAACCTACAGCTTTAGCAGTTGCACCTACAGCTCTGCGACGATATCCTCTAACTAAACAATCTAATGTATCTTTTGCATTACGTACTTCAATTTCGGTTAATCCAGGAATTACAATTCTTTTTTGTTGATCTTCTCTGATATCAACTATACTTTGATCTCTATTTGATTTTGATAAAAGATCAAATAATTGTTCTTGATATAATTCCATAAATGATACCTGTAGAACATGAGAAAATACTTTACTGAAGAAATGACTTACTGTTATTATTATGTTTACAATTTCATAAACTATTATGATTTCTAAAAGCAAATTATATTAAATAGCAATCCATATACTCCTAAGGAGTGCAGAACAATTATATTCAACCAACCAAAGATTTTAAAAATCTGACATGTTTAATTTCTGACCATTTATGGGTATTTAAATAAACTCTAATTACAGTGTAAAAAGGTTATGGCTTTTAAATTTTAATTCTCATTTAAACCTCATATGCTCCTTAACAATACACTTTAAATTTATTGCTTTAATATTTGGAAAGTAGTTTATATTGATCTAACTTGTAATTGAAAATTATATTGCTCCGTCAGAGTTGAAATTTTTTGAAAAATGTCTTTTACTGCTCTTGGTATAACACCCATCTCCTCGACTGGTCCAACTGAATAAGCCATGCCCATGGAATGAGTTTTTCCGGAGCCAGTCTGACCATAAGCTAATATTGTCACATTGTAGCCTAAAATATATTTTTAGATTGAACAAAATAATAAATAATAAAGTAAGATACTGAAGATAAAAATAGAATTTGGGATTATAGATGAGAGATAAATTCACCTACACCAAAGTTATGTTATGTCAAAATTAAATTCTAGTAGAATAAATTACCCTTAAACAATCCATCAACTAAACCCTTAACAGCAGTGTCATAAAATTCAGCTTGCGAAACTTCTGGTGGAAATACATGGTTGTAAGTAAAAGAAAGATTTTTTATTAAAACTTGAGGTTTATTTGGCACTGTTTCGAGCATTTATCATATCCTTTAGAAATTTCGGATTTGACTAAAGGCCTTATCCTTAAAGCCACATGTATTTTTATTCAAAATTTTTTTCAAAAATCGTTTGAGCAGGTGTAGATCTTATATGAGATATTCTATTTTATTTATGAAGAAAATAATATAGTAAACTAGTGGGGCGCATGGCATCGTGCCTTAAGGCAAATTGCTGGAACTTCCCGTACCAAAATTTTTTTTTTTTTTTGAAAGATTAACATTTTTGAAAAAAATTTACTCTGAAAAAAAATAGATTTTTGAGGAACTATATGAATTTTTGACAAAAACTTATTTTTTGTTGAAAAATTTATTTTGAAATATTTTGGAAATTCTGAACTTTTTTTCAAAGCAATCGTACTGCTTTAATGCATAGAGACTAAATATCAAAGCGCGTAAGCGCCGCGTCGCTGTCTAACGCATAAGCATTGGTACGGAACCCATAGGAGTGTTAACAAAATGTATACTTATTGTTAAAATCTCTATAAAATATCTCATAATTTGATGTGCATATGTCTAATGTCTAATGATTATTGTTGACCGCCAAATGTTATTTTTTTTTAAATTTTTTTTACTAGATCTCCGAAACCGCTAGACCTATTATCATGAAAATTTGATCAAATCTTCATCTTGATAATGCAAGTAAAATGTTTTTGAATTATACAAATCGGACGCTCCGTTCTCTTAAAAACTGAGTTACCGTTTTTGGCACTTTTTGCCCCGTATCTTCGGAACGGCTAGGCCTGTCTTCGCTAAAGACTAATCAGCACGTCTTCTTATCAATACAAATCGAATATTTTTTGAATTAGTTAAATCGCTTCATCTGTGTAACCGAAATCGTCGACAAAAATTTGTATCCGAACACACACACATACACGCACACACACACACGCACATACACACACACATACATCAATTTTTTCTAAGGCATGCCAAAATGTTCAGAAGGTTTTAAAACGTAAAGATATAAAAAAAACGATTTTTTTGCGATTACTATAACTTGCTCTACGAGAAGTTAATTATAAAATAGTGGGGCGCATGGCATCGTGCCTTAAGGCAAATTGCTGGAACTTCCCGTACCAGAAATTATTTTTTTTTAAAAAGATTAACATTTTTGAAAAAAATTTACTCTGATAAAATTGATTTTTGAGAAACTATAAATTTTTGACAGAAACTTACTTTTTGTTGAAAAATTTATTTTGAAATATTTTGGAAATTCTGAACTTTTTTTCAAAGCAATCGTACTGCTTTAAATGCATAGAGACTGAATATCGAAGCGCGTAAGCGCCGCGTCGTCGTCTAACGGATAAACACTGGTACGGAACCCATAGGAATGTTAACAAAACTTATACTTATTGTTAAAATCTCTATAAAATATCTGATAATTTGATATGCATATGTCTAATGTCTAATGATTATTGTTGACCGCCAAATGTTATTTTTTTTTAGTTTTTTTTACTAGATCTCCGAAATTTACACAAAATTGAAAAAGTGCTCCCGCATAGTCACAGTCTAAACGCATTTGCAAATAATTCTGTGCGACATTTTCACTTATACTGTGCTTAGCTTGGCGGCATTTTCACATTTTTCAATAGTTTTCACAAAATTGGAAAAGTGCTCCAGTACATAAACAGTCTAAACGCACTTGCGTAAACATTTGTACCAGAGTGGCGCTTAGACGGTGCTTAGCCTGGGTGATTTTTTGAATTTTTAGTCCAAAATTACAAAAAAATTTTTTGAAAAAAAAATTAGAAACAAAAATTTTTTTTTTCCAAAATCAATTATTTTGTTGAAACAAGCAGAAAGTTCTTTGAATCATTTAAATCGGACGCTTAGTTCTCTCAAAAACTGCAATTTTTTTTAAATTTAGCTCTGTATCTCCGAAACCTCTGGGCCTACCTTTGCCAAAAACTAATCAGCACATCTCCCTATCAATAGGAATCGAATGTTTTTCAAACTATTCAAATCGGTTGATCCGTTCTCTCAAAAACTCGCTTTCTATTATTTGCACTTTTTGCTCCATATCTCCGTAACGGCTGGACCTGCCTTTGCCAAAACTAATCAGCACATCTCCCTATCAATAGGAATCGAATGTTTTTTAAACCATTCAAATCGGTTGATCCGTGCGCCCGAAAACGTGGACGAAAAAAAGCGGACATACAAAACACACACACACACACACACACACACACATCCATTTTTTCTGAAGTATGCCAAAATGTTCAGAAACCTTCAAAACGTCGAGAAATGTAAAAATTTTTGATTTCGATTTTTGGACGATTACTATAACTTACCCTACGGGAAGTTAATAAATCAATTTATCATCTCCATAACATTAACAATCGTCATTTCATTTCGAATTAAATTTCAAAAAAAAAATAGTTGCCAAATTTACACAAAATTGAAAAAGTGCTCCCGCATAGTCACAGTCTAAACGCATTTGCAAATAAATCTGTGCGACATTTTCACTTATACTATGCTTAGTGTTCGCGCCAATCAAAGCATGCGGCTATATTGATATAAAAACAAAAAATCATCTATCAGAAAATCATACAAATCAATCAATCAGTCAGAACGTAATCAAAAACAGTATTAAAATTATTGTAAATATACTTATAACTTGTTATTAATATAAAATAAATATATACAGTTATAATCAAAGTATTTACAATTGGTCCTTCCTAAGGCAAGCAATCACAACATCCTAAATTTTCATCGGTCCTTACGAGGTGGATTCAACCATCCTAAATTTTTTCATTGGTCCATACGAGACGGATGTGACGTCCAGCAATCGAAGGAGAGATCAAGCATAAACCAAGTAAATCAAGATTAAATAAAGAGGAAGTTCAAAATCAAGATAAGAAGTTCAAATTTGGAGCTACAGCTACAAGCACAAGCAAAACAAGAAACCAGGTTATTCAATTACAATTCCTTCTTATCAATCTTTCCTCATTTAATTAATAGAGTTTAGTACGATCTGTGACAGATGGAAGCGTTAAAAACTTTAAAATCATTCAAAACAAAGCAACTAGAAATTAAATCGCAATTAGCATATTGCGAAAAGATTTGCAATCAATGGTCACACATGCCTGTGTGTGAATTGAATATTTCTGAAATAAGCAGTTTTAAAGAATATGTAAGACCTATTTTTGACTTGTTTGAAGATACGGTTATCAAAATAGCAACTTTACTTGATGATGAAGAAGAAATTGATAATTTATTTGATAACGAATTAGAAGAGTTTTTTGATAAATACCAAAAATGCTTGACAACATTATCAAAGCTTAGATTAGCAGCATTGAATAAATCAGATACTAGTTCGGAATTCAATTTAAATTATACCAAAACAACAAATAATGCAGATAACATAAAACAGCCTCAATTTTATTTACCTCAATTGAACATTTCTAAATCAATTTCGGTATCAAATCATGAATCTAACTTAGAAGCTCAAGTAGATATATCTTCAGAAATACGCAAACCATACGACGATAAACAATACTTTACTGAAACGGAAAAACAACGCGAAGAGTATTCTATTACTAATACAACTAAGACTATTGACAGAAGTTTTGGTACTATAATTCAATTTGCAAAAAATATCAAAGACATAGAATATAGTAGACAAGTAACATTAAAACGTCATATTTCACTTGCAAACAGAAACCAATTCACCGAATATGATAACTTCATAAACGCAAGCATACCTAAAATAAGTTTATATTTACCTCATGAAGACGTGTTAAAGTCAATCAATTTAACAACTAATTTTCGCGTAATTTTGGAAGCACCTTGTAAATCCGATACAAGTGTGCTGTTAACTGAGCTACAACTTGTTAGACCGAATATCCGAAACGAAATCTGTTTCATTAAAACAAATTTTAAAATTTATACTTCAATACTAACGGTCGATATAAAGAGAGTGATCGAACAAGTTTTAGTTCAGATAAACGACAAAAAGATTCATCAAACAATTCGGGGAAAACTTTCCACTAACAAAATAAACATAAATCAACAACATACGTTCTTATCAATACGATATTCAGAACAATCACCTAAACAAAGCATAACTGAACATCTAAAAATATTCGAAATCCCCAGAAATTATTTTAACGTTAATAGTTCATTAACTACAGCTGATACAATAATGAAATTTTTTATTAACAACCTCACTAACATTTTAACGCAAGCTAAACTCAATCTTTATGAATTGAATTCTAACCATTCAAAACTTTTCTTTCCAACTCCAAATCGTCTAAGCATGAAATTACATATCTATACATATAGCGCGCGAATGAATGTGTTTTTCACTTCAAATTCTAGCTATAAAATAAAATTGATAGTGGAAAAGTCTAAAATAGCACTATCAAAACACATAGCATTCTTATACCTCAAACTAAGTGAGGTACAATTATTAAAAATTCTTGCGCGAAAAATGAAACGGGCATTAAGTATCGCGTTTGATAAAAAATTATATTGGAGCGATCTTACTATCACTCTAATATGATTAAAATCTCTATTTTTATAAATATAAAATCGCTTTTGCGAATATATTTTATTTATTCAAAACAGAAATGTATGCAAACTACTGGTTACGTACAATTTATTAAAATCATTGTAGTGTACTAAAGCTTTGCAATGCGCCAAGGTCCACCTTGACTTCTAACTAAAGACTGCATCGCACGATTAACAATTTTGCAATTTTTGCGATTGAAATATGAATCTTGCAAGTTTAGCATGTACTCATTAAACTGGTACGTATTATGAATCTCAACTTTATTCAAATACTAAAATGACAAAGAACAGAACATCACAGAGTTTATTAATGATTAACAAAATGAATAAATCACTTAATAAATTGATAAAATCAAAACAAGTCATGACAATCAAGCAAAACATCCTTAACTTAAGTACGCATTAACAAATCATTGCAAAAAACATTGGTTCTAACAATCAAGCAAGACATACCTAACTTAAGTACG